GTGCAAGGTGCAAGGTGCAAGGTGCAAGGTGCAAGGTGCAAGGTGCAAGGTGCAAGGTACAAGGTGCAAGGTGCAAGGTGCAAGGTGCAAGGTGCAAGATGCAAGGTGCAAAGCAAAATGATGTGATTCTAAGCCAATCGCATATAATATATAGCGGAGTATTTTAATAAAGTGAGCTTTGGCTGGAATCATTTTGTAAGGAGGCAGTTGCTGTAATTTTTGTACAAAACCGTTAAAAATTGCTTTAATTTCACTATGTACTGTAGAATTTTACATTATAATTGGTATAATATACCAATAGAACCCATAAATTTAGTTCTTATAAATTAATTATATTAATTAGTTTATAAGAACTAAATTTATGGGTTCTATGAGGATTTTGAGGTCCGAAGTAGTTGCACGTCAAAAAAGAAGGACAAGTTTATTGTGAAATGTATCAATATGTATACATAGTACAGTCTAGACAGTAATTTAAGCTACATAAATTCTCTTTAAAAACAGAGCAAACAAACGGTTTTATTAATTCAGAATCTCTCAGCTCCGCTGCCCGTAGATACGCACAAAGCATTTTCGCGTTGTTGCCGCGGTGTCGGAGGGACAAAGCTTCTTTTATGTCAAGCACTCGAAAAAACCTCGCTGCACGTGGAAGTACTTGCATTCATTCCCATATCCGAGCCGTAAAAAGATTGTGTTTGCCACGAGGATGAAACATGGAATGTTTGAATACCTGTTACTAGGCCTCAAAGACCAGATTACAAGCGTTTGTCTATCTTATGTTCCGACGATGTCACGAAGATGGAGGTCAAAGGTCTCACCTACAGGTACATACCAGCTCTGAGAAAGCGTCGGATATGCACATCAGAAGCGCCTCAATAGGATCTCGATTGGGGGATAGTTCCCCTCTTGAGCGCGCTGACATTGATCGTTCAGGTCCATGAGGTCTGAGATGAAATCATCTTCGTTTTCTAGAAAGGGAAGCTGATATGTCCATAGTATTGCCATTGCTCCAAGCGAAACCTCAGCGCTTGATGCGCAAGAATGGACACTTTACGTGCAATACATCAGTGACTAGGCGTCCAATGTGAACGAAATACAGCATCAGATGTCGGGGCTGCTCGAACCTTCTAACTTGACGTATCGGACTCGCTCGAAATTATGTCAGCCTGTCAAGTGAGGCAAGTTCTCGCGGACTAAGTCTAGGCTTAAAATTCTCATTGTCGAAATGGTGTCTGATCCTCTTGCATAGGCAGTATCAATTACCGTCTTCATGGAGGGCCTGCTTGCACAAAGGGCTTCCACGTCTACCATATCTCTTTTGAATAAGCGGTGGGCGTTGCAATTCTTGCTGACTACCTCTTTCGCGCCGCGAATACGGAATGATGTGCTGGGAATGCAAGCTTTCGAGCGCACCAGAAGCGATGAATCTCAGTCATCCCGAAGAAGAAATGAGGGGTCCGTTTTCTAACACTTAGACAATATATCTTGTAGTATTGCAAATCACGTGCGCCTTGTATGATCTCTTCGCTCTCGGCTAAGAGGTACAAAGACAGGCTCCCACGCATAGGTGGACGATACAAAAACGTCAAATCCTAGTAGGCACAGCACGACATACAAGGAAACTTTTGAATGGAATCGTACCTCATGGAGGTCGGGATCAATGGAACCCAGCCATTCGATTATCGTTTCCTTGATTTGAGTATGAATCATAGACCAGGGCTATTAGTCAAGACGACCATATGTCGCGATCAAAGGGGCAAGGCTTTGATGTTGTCCGGGATGGATCATCTTTGTTCCGATGTAGCGATATTGCTGAGTCAGCACTACTGTGCGATGGGCCCACTGTCCGGATCATTGAAGCTCTACGGGCACTGACAGCAAGGAATATTTACTCATGGATAAAGTGACCGGGGTGGTCCGAGTGGCCTCGTAACGAAGTAAACGATCCCGCCGCTTTAGTTCACACTAATAAGTAGTGGAAGCCTGATAATTACCTCGCGAATTGACGTTTTCTTACTTAGACTTAAATAAAACTGGTTGTCTGTCGGCCACACAACAAACTACTGAATTCTAATTGGCTAATTGTGATTTCTTTTCAAATCACTCATAAGTCACTACGAGATTACTCGTAACTTACCTAAATATGTAATGTAACTTTTAGTTACTCCTAGTATCAAAAGTAAATCTCTTACTAGATAGATATTATTCTGCTAACGACTCATATAACGCGACTACCTGTTACATCACCCCACACTCAAGGTTGGACTTACGGTACCGTAAATCCAAGCCGATAAATTCCAGTTAAAGCTAAAGCGACTGGAAATAGTTCACAATACACTCGGAATCACTCTTCAAGTGCGCATAAGAATAAATATGAACCGTGACATGCGCGACATCGCCTTTGTCAGCGACAGGAGATACGAAAAAGGCGTCTTCATGCGATTTCGGGCAGTACGAGGGAGGAAGGCCGACTTCGCTTGCCAACGACGCATTACAGTGGTTGTGGTGCGCCTTCATTCGATAAATGAACGCTTCTAAACGCGAAAGTACCGGGTATTTTGCGTCGTCGCTGGATGCGCGTAAGGCTACACATTGCCGGTACTTCATTGCACGGCCGCGCGAGGAAGTATGCGAAGTCGCATAGGAGAAGTGGCGGAAGGGTGAACACGCTGTTACAACACTCTGCTTTCTACTCAGGCGCAGTGTGGTCATGATAAGCGGCGGTGGTTTGGATGATATCGGCGCTCCTTGTTTAGGAAGCGCCTTGCCGATCGTCGTCAATTGGGTGCTTACGAGCAATACGAGTGCCATCACTGTCGAAGCCTGGCTTGCGCACGGCTAAGTCGCAGCGGAGGGCCAACTGTCATCATCATCGCAGCCGTAGCAGAAAGTGGAGTGGCTGTGGCTGATACGACGGGAGCCGTACGTATCCATGAAGGGTGGATACAAATAGCGGACTATACCCAAAACGAAACACTCGTTGCCTCCATGGCGTCTGACTCTATCGCGGAAGCCATAAATTCCATGGAGAGTATCCAAACTGGTGGGTCTTGCACCGAGAACTTGTGCGTCCAGCCTATCTTGCTTGAAAATGCATTTAGCGTCGCATCAAATGCGATGCGAAAATACAGCTTCCGTGCTAAGTGGATAGGATAAGGAGCCGGGGATGAAGCGTTACAAGTGTGCCAGAGGCGATGGTTCTCGGCCATGCTGAGAAATGAAAGAGAATTTGCTTAGCTGCCGAGAGCATCCATGGTTCTCATAGATTTTCCTTCCGCGGTAGTACACTGCATCCGCGCCCTGCGGGTCCCATTCCCTCTCTCAAGGGGAAGCGTCAAACGCCAGCAGGCGCAGAGCGGTCCTGCGAAGAAGATATGAGCTATGTTTAGCCTCATGAAGTTTGTGGCCAATGGGACCAAGCTGTTAAAGAAGCGACATTCTTTAGGGAGGTGGGGCTAATAAACCAGGATTCTTAGTTGCTAATTTCAACGTTTTCGAGCCTTATGAAGCCGTGCATAGTCCAGGAGTAGCGTGCACGGGCGACTGCTGATAACAGTAGACAGTACGCAAACCGGAAAAAGTTCGGAGGGCTACTAGCCGCATGTCAGAAAAGAAAGACAATATTTATAAAGATAGTAAAGCGAGCATATTTAGTATCAGTTGAAAGTTTGTCTATATTATTGTTTATAGACGTACTGACTTCTC